TTAAATACACTCACCGTCCTTAAAAACTCTTAATGTTTTGATTTATTGGTCAAATAGTGACACTCTTTAATCATAAATTAAGCATAATATAAATAAATAAATAAATGTTATAAAAATCTGATATATCAAAATTATATCACAAGATGATGAACCTAATTATATTAAATGTATATTACAACTTAATTTACTTTTCTCACAATTTATAACTAAATAATGTCATTATGTGCCAAAAATGTCAAAATAGAAAGGATCAAGTGAGTACTATTTTATCATTACCTTTGGACTATTTTGTCAAAAAAAAAAATCTCTCTTCATTAATTTGTCAAAGTAGAAAGGATCAAGCTACTTATTTTTACGGCCCTTTTTAATTTCTTTTTTCTTTTGTTTTATTTTACATCATTAGTTTTCTTTTTTTACGTACATATGAAGCAAAAATACCCATTTTAAGGTACATTTGAGATTATGTGATACGCGGAGTATATACCAATTTTGTGCCATGCAAAGTCAAAACGAAATATAACAAAAAAAGAAATCAAACCTTTTTACCTTATAATACGAGGCGCACCAAGTCAAAAGAGAAAAAAGTTTTACGCCATGTTTGGTTCGAAGATTTTGTGAAGGAAAGAAAAAGAAAATAAAAAGAAAATTTTTTTTCTTGTTTGGTTAGAGAGAAAAAGAAAAAAAAAAGTGAAAGGAAAAAATAAGAAGGCAAAATATATATAAAGAGGAGAGAAAATGAAATTCCTTGCACTTTACTGAGGAAAATGCGGAAAAACCATTTTCTTTTCTTTTCCTTCCAAATTTCTTGAACCAACCATGATGTTAAAAATCTATCTAAGTGCTTGTTCAAGTCTCTCCCTTGCCTTGTACGTTATTTATTTGAAGAAAATCATGGGCATATATTATATTGGAATATAGTCAATAACATTAAAAATTAATATGTTCTATAACTTATATTCACTAAACTTGTTGGTTCTAATCAGAATTAATTAATTTTGGATCTAATCTAGTCTGGTGGTCTATTTTGTTTCTTATTTGACCTAATTTGAATATTTTGAATTGATCTAAACTTTTTTTTAATCATATAACTATTAATTGTTTCTTCAACATATAATACGCAAGTATTTTTTATAGTAGATTTGTTTTCTTTACAAAAAATTAGTTGGATAAAAAATTAAAAAATGCAGAAGAAGAAAATATATATGCAATGGGTCTTTTGGAAATAATAAATCTACTTCTAAGATTAGGAGATGTGTTCACACAGCCTCCCGAGACTCCACTTTTGTGGGATTTTACTGGGTTATTTTTTGTTTATCATTTCCTCAAAAAAATCTCTCTTTTTTCAAATATATATGTGGTCTAAAATAATTGTTTTTTCTTAAAGTAATTGACCATTTATTTTGAACTATTGTCCATTCAACATGTATTGAATATCACTTTTACAAAGACTTTTTTAATCTATATGATTACAAAATAGAAGCAATTTTTTAGCTACAAAGTGAGAGCGCCTTATTTTTTTAACTAAACTCGTACGACCTAATATATAATTAGGGAAAAACCTTGATGAAAGAAAATGATAAAATTAAATTAACATAATAACATATAATCAAATATTAAAAAAATTATGAATACTATACATGTTCATCATGAAAAATCACTTCCATTGAATATCTTCCTCTTGTCCAAGTCGGAACAAAATAGACACAAGCGGCTCGTAACATCCAAGAGGTTCGACTATTGTCAATCTTGGCAAGCGCATTCCACATAATTTTTGAATGTTTTGAGACATTTTTCGAAAGTAGGCCAAATTGGGATGAGAGGTATGAAATCTATGGAGTATAAATAGCATACTCCGTATATAATTGTCTATGGAGTAGGCCAAAAAGGGACATACTTGTCTTTTCTCATATGCAAGTATGTCCCTTTTTTCTCCGTTCGAACTTAATCT